GAGGGTTGTGAGATAAAACAACATTTTCTGTTGCCACCTTTTGAAATCAACCCCAACAAATTTTTTCAGCTTTTCCCCATGTGAAACGAAGTTTGAATGTACGATAGTAGGGGCACCCACAACCGGAGGAATCACATTAGTAGTAGTTGTATTCACAACGGGAGGAATCACACCGGTAGGAACACTTCCTTCAGAAGTTCCCATGTTCGAAGTTTCATTCGAAGTAGTATAAGTATTAAGAACCGTATTCATTTTTGTTTACGTAAAACAGAAGATCAACCAAAAATAGAAGTGAAGAAGAAGTTAAACTTAACAAGTTTAACCAAACAAGAATGTCACTTTCACAAAATATATATAAATTCGACTTAAGATTGTTGGAGGAATTTTGTGAATAGTGATGCCAAAATAAGTATAATGATGGTTTGTAAATCCGTGCCGAAAATTGGACAGAGTAACGGCAAAGAAAACACAAACAAGAAGAAGAAGAAAGTAGGGACAAAGCCGAGGCAAGAGTTGGACTCTTTGTCCTTAAGTCGAATTTGCCCCGCAACGGTGCTTACGGATTTCGACAATCGACTCCCAAGATACAACGGCTACACTTGTGTTTGTAGCACTCCAAAACACAAGTACAACGAACCAAATTTAGGCTTATGTACTCCAAGGATGAAATGAAGGAAAATCAAAATAAATGAAATGATTTTGATTTTGGATAGAAGAGAGGATGAGAGATGTTTTGCATATCAAATTGTGTGGAATAGGACACCCAAAGGGTCCTATTTATAGACCATGAAAGGGTGTGGACGAAATGGTTGAGGCCAAACCATGCACCATTTCCAAACAATGCACCTTTATGAAAAGGTGTCTATTTACCAACCATGCGGTCGCGACCTGATTTTCGTCCTTTTTCGTAATTTCTCATTACGGGGGGCGCTGCCCCCTTGACCCCCGCGACCTCACCAGGCAGGTCGATCCCCGTTTGTGCGCCCCGAAGCGGCGAAGTGGCAAACAATTTTGCCTAAACGGATTGAGTCGAGCTTTTGAGTATTTGGCCGAAGTCGATACGAAGTCACTTTAATCGATTTTCAATTCTCGATTTATTTAACCAATATCCAACACTATTATGATTTATTATCTTTCCCCTCAAAATGACTCTAAATCAAATTGAAGTTCATCAATTACTACAGCCATTGCAAAATTGTAGTTGCATCAATGGTTTGTCAAATTATCGTAGAGACTCACGCCGCTTCTTTTGATCAAAATTGTATTTTTTTTCATAATTTACACTGGCTTCCCAAAGGGCATAAGGATTTTGCTATTGCTGATATCTGACCCTCCAATTCTTATTTTGACATGTTTTGTACGCCCTCTTACAATTACAGGTGCAAATTTTTTTGTAACGTTCTTTCAGAAATGTTTTTGAAATTTTTTTGATTATCCTGGTTCATTATCGTTGAATTCGAGTATGTTAGATGGATTATGTTCTTTTCATTTATAAGCTTTTATTTAGTAGGTACCGCAATACATAATGGATTTCGTGATTGAAGTGTAGTATCGTAAAATTTCATTGAGCATGCATTTTTATCAACATGGTGTCAATCACAATATGGTGATTAGGTGTCTAGAAAACTAGTTTGCAGGTTGTTTTATCTTACAGGTCATCCGGTGGGCTAATAAAAAAACAATATGTATTCATTGTGGGCTAATAAAAAAACAATATGTATTCAGTGAAAGCAAAAGTTAAACTTTATCTTTCTTGTAAATTTATATTAATACAATAACAAACGTCAATATATTTACGAATATCTATCATCTCTTTGATTTTAAATTTTAAAATGATTACTAATCTTAGACTTTTTATTGCATGTTAAACAACAAAGAGTCCATTCCAATTTAGCAATGGAAAACATTTAATTGAAAATATTATGTACAAAAATCCAACACATTCAAAACATTAACATTACCAACCGTCCCATGCACTGCATGGGCTGCACGCTAGTTATGTTTAAAAAGGTCATCCATGTCAAAATCAAATTGGTCTAGTTACAATTGTAGACCAATGTCATACCACAACACCAGGAGTGTAGGACCTTGGAGATCATGAAACTAAAAAAGTAAAAAAATAAAATAAAATAAAATAAAATTAACCTAGCTCCATATGATGGTCATCGTTTTTTTTTTCTACCAATAATTCTTACAATATTTGTATTTTAGCACTCACTTTCATTGTAAGGGAAGTGGTATTTCCTCATTGATTGCTGTTATCATTTCCACATGTAACCATAGTATTAATCCATTGCAAGTGAGGGCATATTAATAAAATTTCGAAAGTACCGCCCTCCTTTAATGGTAAAAAAAATACTCTGTAAAATAAAAAAAATTTCGTATATAGTAACAATAATGTTTAAAGATTCTTTATGGTGAGTAATTGATGATAAATTAGGTGGCGGCAACAATGGATATAAATAATAATTCATAAATAATGAAAAGAAATTGCTTTATACCTACAAATTATCTCATGTTGGGCCCTCCCATTGGGCTCTGACTTGGGCCCATTTTACAATGTAATAATGAAGAGAATTTTTCTGACATGTAATTTAATTATACCTTGTAGAGGAATAACTTCTACATATATCCTACCAATTTCCACACACACACACACACACATATATATATATATATATATATATATATATATATATATATATATTTGTGTGTGTAAGTGTAATCCATTCACAATTATGGTATGAATTCTAACCCTAATCAAAATTTCTCTACATTCTCTTGCACTCATTTTTCTTTCGTCTGGCTCTTGACTTCATCGTTGTTGACATTTTGCCTAGGTGTTAAAATATGGCCAATGATATAATAGAGAGAGACTACATGTACAAATATTAATTTCAGATATATCCTATAGAATACACATAGCATGAGGTGGGTGGATTATTTTTTGGATTATTTTACTTACATGGGGACCCAGTATCTGAAATTTTTTTGTGATGGATAATTCTGTGCACACAGAATTTCGCGATATAATAAGGTATTATAGAAATCAATGACTATGATGGATGCCATGTGGAAGAGTGTAAAATTTAATGTAAAGGAAAATGTAAATGTAACATAATTGTATTTAGGGAATGAGCAAGCACAAACGTAGATCAATATGTGTATTGGTAATGATTTTGTAAAAGTCAACAGTGAATTTATTTTTATTTATTTTTTCAAATTTGGTTTCAACAAACTCGCAACCACCAAGTCTTTATAAATTGGTTTATGTTTCCATCTTTATTTGTTATAGGATTTTAATTAACGTACCCTAACAAGATAGTGGCTTGTTCGAGAGCAAACCAATCTTAAAATGCACGAGCTCATTTTTTTGAGTTTTAATCTAATTAAATTGCTCGTTAGCTTAATGAATCCTGATATCATGTTAAGACTTGAAATTTCATCTTAAAATGTCAACCTTATTAAGATAAGTATTCTAAATCCTTATAAGTTGGATGTGAGATTTTATCGCTTAACAATTACTACCTTCTTAGTACTTCACTTTGATTTTTGGAGACTTTGCTGATAACATGTTATAAATTAAAGAGAAAAGAGAAGAAATTAGTAAAGTCAATAGACTTTTGTGTGTTTCATTTAGGACTAAAGTCTAATATTTATTTGGAAGAATTAGGGATACAAGATACACAATAGTAATAAAATCTAGGACTGCAAGTATATAGTTATCATACACAAATACTATTTTATTCATAATAAAATTTATATTTTAGACTCGAAATTCATTAAAATCTTAGGGGGAAGTCAATATTTTAAACCAATTCCGCAAATATATTTATAGTTACGAAATTCATTAAAATCTATTCAAATTAACTATTTGAATGAAACTTTTAAAAATCCACTAATTATTCTTGACACCCAAAATTTAATGGATTAATATTTGCCAACGTGATGAATGCTCTGATATTTTCTTGGCCTTATCTTGGAAAGGAAAAGATAATACCATTTTTTCTTGAATAACTTTCCATGATTTTATGATCTTCATTTCTTTTTTTTCCTCGAGAGAAATACTTGATCATATCACAAATTCTCATTCCTATGGAAAATATCAGTTTTCACCTAAATTTCTATTGGAAGTGTTTGATTGCTATTTTTTTCCATGGAAAACATTTTTCAACTTTTAAAAATATACCTAATTTTCTTTGTTTTTAAGGTAAATATTTTTGGAAGTATTTATCCTTCTAGTTTGTGGAAGTATTTATCCTTCATTTGGTTGCCTTTTACTAAAATTTATTTTCAATCACTCATTTCTTCAAATTCTCAATTTTAATTAAATTTTTAATCACTCATTTCATCAAATTTTATTTACAATCTATTAAAATTTTGATTTTCAAATCAAGGACGAATAAATAGTTGTTACTCATGTGGGAACAATAAGATTGATGAAAATACTTCTTCAGAAAAAGATTGATTTGAGATTCCGTCAAATTTCATTCCTTTCATTATTTAGTGCTCGTCATACTATTTTTAGTTAAACCCCTAGTCAATTGGGCCCCTGTGATAGGTGGAGGGGGTGGAGATTTTCATTTTGATTAAAGTCAATGAAATATATGGTTAAAAATTTGTGAATTCTATAACATGTATGATTAAAATTAGGAGCCTGTTTGGGAGTGATTTTGAGAATTGATTTTTTGACCGTTAGGAGAAAAGCGGGGTCCACCTGTGAGAGAAGAAGTCAAATATGAAGGTTGAAATAATGAAATAACGGTCAAAAAATCAATTTTTTGGGGGAAAAAATCACTCCCAAACAGGCTCCTATTGAATAATAAAAAATCAATTTATTATTATTATTTTATATAATAATTGTGTGTGAAGACTTTAAATTAAACTATTGTATCACAATTTTTTTTCCCGGTTTCCTATTGAATAAAGGACTCAAACAGTGCGTATATATATAGGGCTAGCCGGCACATGTTAGTCTAAGATCGTAACAAGAATTGTAATCCCCCTTTTATAGCAAAAGTTTCTCAGAATATATACAAACCCTAAAATCATATAAATTTGCTTTTCTAAATTCTCCAAAATCTTCCCCAGAAAACTTGTGATTTTTTCGCACTTCGTCATGGAAGAACAACCTGGTAAGCATCGACTCTCTGTGCCTTAACTACTGTAATTATCATAACTGTTAACCAAATCTCTCTTATATTTTAGGGTTAAAAAATTTGAGTTCGAGTTAATCATTGTGATTATGTAATTAGACCTTTTTAATTTGTTTGTAGCCAAACCAATTTTTTTATTTTTTTTTATTTTTTTTGTTTCTTTTGGATAGGGACAGATCTAGGATTGGATTCAAGATGGAGCTAAAAATTTTCAAGCCAGACTAATACTCGAATTTTTTTTTAAAACTATTTTTACCCAAAAATAATAATAATAATAAATAAAAATCTTGGGCTACGGGGGACTGGAGCCCACTACGTCCGTCCGTGCTTTAGGGTTCATGATTTGAGTTCTTGGGCTCTTTTTAAGCATTAAGTTCTTTAGATTATAATGAAAAGTACGATAGACAATGTATTTTTAGTTATTTTTCTTTCTATATAATGTTGAATTGAGTTCTTGATAAAGTTTTTCTTGTGTCGTAAATGACAGGGTCACCAGTAAATATGGAGAAGAGAAAGTGGGATCATACCCCAATATATTATGTGAAAGAGGTTATACGGAAATCCATAATTGCTATGTTCATCAGTGTGATAGTATGGATTATAATGAAGGTCCTATTAAGGGTTTTTGAGCATTCTTCAAATCAGCATGTTGATTTGATCGACATTGTCCTTGCTTTATTCCTCTCGTTTTGTCTCATAATCTTGACAATTTTTCAGATATTCTCTATTTTTCTTACTACTTGTGAAGCAATTAAGGGTCGGACTTCATCGAGTATCTTGGCTACGAGCATCAAACAATAGACTTAGAACTGGTCTAATTTTGTTTTTATTTATTTATTGTTTTCTTTCACTAGTCGAAAACAGTTCATAACATTTTTTGTCTGCTTAATTGATGCTTTTGAATTAGTAATGATATAATTTATTTATTTACTTATTTTTTTTGGGAATTTGTGACAATATTGTCTATGGTCGATTAGGTTGAAACTAGAAAAAATTTATGTTACCTTTTCTATTATATGCCACAATCCCTTATTTACTACTTTATTTTGTATAGGTGACTTTACTCTAAACTGATTTTTTGTTTCTTTAACAGAATAAAAGAAGATGATTGTCTCTTTGCTTGTTGATTTATCTGATAATATATAGAGATTTTGGACAAGTTATAGACTTATAGTCAGTGTTCTTAAAAGCTTGTCTAGACGGCGCCTAGGTGCCTCTTAGGCTCGAAGCTCGCCTTACTTTGCGCCTAAACTTTCCTTTCCTTTTTTTTTTTCCAATTCCTAAATAGCTGAATTTTTTTTGTCTCTCTCTTTGGTCTTCCATAGGCACACTTTATTAGGTTTTTATTCTCGTCTTTTTTAAAATTCTTTTTATTTGACTTTAATTTATTAATTAATTATTTAAAAAAATTTCATTTGACTTTAATTTCATGTTTTTAAAAGATTTTATTTGTACAAAAGTTAAAAATGACTTTATCTTGTTTTAGCTCGTAAAACTTGAAATTTCACCTCCATATTTGGACACGCTTCAAGCTTTTTAAAACACTGCTTATAGTTATACAGACAAATTTAAAGAACATTGACATATATAGAACAAAATTGTTATCATAACTATTTATTTAGTCTAAATACCAAGCATATATATATGTAAAAACAATATCCAACTTGCTGAAAAGTTTTAAAAGCAGAACTGATTAATTAAAATTCTATAATTAGCTTTTAGAGTAAAAACCCGATTCCAAATTTTAATGAAAACAAGAATCTAATTCTCCCTTTTCAGTTCTCTCCCAAAAGAACCACGATTGAAAATAAGATATTTCATTATTATTTGTTTATTTATATTTTAATATTTTATATTTATATTAGTTCTTTTATTTTTATCTATGGTATAGAAAATTTTATGGACTCGAAATCCACTGAAATCTATGTGGCTATCGGATTGAGATCCCAAATCCATCTCTCATTAATTTCAACTATTTCGGATCGGATTCGGATCAAAATCGAATTTATTGACTGCCCCACATATATCTCTATCCATATCGAAATTTACGATATTAGTTAAAACATGCTAAAACCTATATTCAACCTCTTGAAAAAAAAAATCAAATATTAATGATCAAGTATTTTGAAAGCGTCAAGGTAAACGAAAATATTAACCTAAATATGTAGGATAATTTATTACTTTAAATAACTGGATTTTCATGTCGGATTATCAAGAAATTCAAGATAGTGGAAGCATACTTGAATCAGACATGGTTATTGCAATGATTGAATTTCACAGTTTAGTTTTTCAAATCTACACGTAGTCTCATTTTCTCTCTGTGATGGAATACAGAAGAGAATGAACAAATCGTACTCTACATGTGATCTGGGGACCATAACCGTATTTATATAACGATGCCTTTTGACCTAATTCGACCCTTCATAGAATTAGAGACTTGGGCTCGATCTTTACACATATATAAACCCACACTTTAATTGGATACATAACGGTCCAAAATTGAAGCCTTATTAGATCACTTTAAATCGGGCTTAACCGAATTTGATAGTCTTTAATTTAGTACACAACAATTTACACATATAGGCCCACACGACGTTTAAATTTTCTTACAATCTCCCACTTGGGCTATATGTGTCACCTTATAATTGTGCATTAAATATAACCTTATGAGTACTCATAATTTTGCTATCATTACTGAAATGCATCCCCAAACAATTTCGTTCATCAATCATATCAATATAGGATTAAAGCGGCTTTCGCTACATTCATGTAGCTAAATCCACAATTGTCACGTATATCGATGTAACCGAATGACATGGATCAAGCATGGTTATGTAGGATGAAAATTACATGTAATGTGATCTGTAACATGCCTATTTCCAACTGGTCCACCTTAATACCTTAGTGAGATCATTTTAAACAAGTTTAGAGATAATAAACCAAATAAACTTTATAACCGAAAATAAATCTAACCTTAAACTGTATCCAAAATGATAGTATATGTGTCTAGCATTAAAATGTAAACTTCCATTGAAACTAAATATTCTCAAGAGACATTACACCTATATGAGCAGTGTGCTCATGAAAGACCTTGGGTATTAATCCCTTAGTAAGCTGATATACAACCATGGAGTTTGCCTCAGTTTGCTCTATTGACACATGTCCACTCTGAACTCTTTCTTTAATAGTCAGGAACTTGATCTCTATATGTTTTGATCTTGTCGAGCTCCTGTTGTTATTGAAATACAGCATTACTGATTTATTGTCAGAAAATATCTTGAGCGATCTTTCTATATTGTCTACAATGTGTAGCCTAGTGACAAAATTATGCAATCATATTCCATAATTTGAAACCTCATAACATGCTATAAACTCCGCTGCCATGGTGGAAGTAGCTATAGTGGCTTCTTAGCACTCTTCCAGGAAATAGCACCTCCAGCAAGCAAGTAAATATAGTTTGAAGTGGATTTCCTACTATCTTGGCATCCCGCGAAATCGAAATCAGAATAATTGATGATCTCTGACTGATCCAATCTCATGTATGTGAGCATGTAGTCTTTTGTTCTCTGTAAATACCGCATGACCCATTTGTTTGCTTTCCAATGATCCATTCTAGGGTTACTTATATATCTCCCTACCATCGCAATACTGTACACTATATCCAGATGCGTACAAATCTTAGCATACATCAGACTCCCTATAGCTGAGAAATAAGGAATCTTATGCATTTCTTTAATTTTCAAGTCATTTTTAGGGCAATAACTTAACCTGAATTTGTCTCCTTTAGTCAAAGGGGTGTCACCTGGTTTACAATATTGCATACCATATCTTTTAAGTACCTTTTCGATATAACTCTTTTGTAATAATCCAAGAATACCCTGAGAACAATATCGGTGTATTTGAATTCCTAATACAAAAGAGTCGTCACCAATATCTTTCATCTCAAAATTCTTTGCTTGAAACCTTTTGATTTCGTGCAATAAGCCTATATCGTTGCTGGCAAGCAATATGTCATCGACATATGAAATTAGAAAAATATACTTGCTTCCTCTGAACTTGTGGTATATACAGTCATCAACCAAATTCATCCCAAAATCAAATGAGATGATCACTTGAGGAAACTTGTAATACCATTGATGAGACGCCTGTTTAAGTCCATAGATGGATTTCTTTAGTTTGCAAACCATTTGCTTTGCATCATCCGATACAAAATTTTCTGGTTGTACTATATAAATTGTTTCATCAATATCACCATTGAGAAGCACCGTCTTAACATCCATCTGATGTAACTCAAGATTGAAATACGCTACAAATGCTATTATAGTCCTGAAAGAGTCTTTCGAAGAAATCGGAGAGAAAGTCTCTTTATAATCGATGCCTTCTTTCTGTGTAAAGCCTTTTGCGGTAAGACAAGCCTTATACTTCTCTATATCACCTTTCAATTCCCTCTTGGTCGTAAATATCCATTTGCAAGCAATGGGTTTCGCACCTTCAATCTTTCCTCTTCCTGGACACAATGTAAGATGAGCTCATTAAGGGACCATGAGTCCTTTTGACAGTTGTAGCTCACCTTGAATTGACTGAAATATGCCGGAAGGGATATCAGAACCAAGTGCACCAACAAGTCTTCAGATAAATCCAACTTGAGTGCCTTTAGTTTTGAAGCAAGGTGAAACATTTCCATTGTACTCCCAAATGTTTCCTTTCCCTTTATACCTCATTGAGACAAGATTTGCCAAAAGTGTACTTGTTTCAGCCTTTTCATTCTTGGCAAACCTCTTCTCAAGGTCCTCAAGGAAACCCTTAGCCGTAGTCACCTTATCGGACATAGTGCCCCGGAATGCTTCTGGAATAGCACGCTTCATGACCATTAAGTTTATGCGGTTCGATCGTTCCCACTTTTCCATCTCCCTCTTGTCATCAGAGGTACTCTTATCAGTAAATCCAGCGGGTTGATCGACTCGTAAAGTAAGGTCTAGGTCTATGACTACAAGAACAATCATCGCATTCTTTTGCCAAGCCCTGAAATTTGTGCCATTTAGCATTGGAATTGAATTGATGGTAGCAGAGATATTAGCAGCAGAACCTGAAACTGAATTAGAGAACGATTATTATGAATAGCTCACTTTGAATATCTTTAATATGCAAATAATAGTAATCTCAAATAGTGGTAGGGCCCATCACAAGATACCAAGCACAACATCAATATCTAGTCTTTGAACAAAGATATTGACTTGTAAGCGGTACTCTTGGCGTAGTGATCAAATATTGACGATAAAATAACGTGTCAATCAATAAACCTTTCTTTGGACCGATTTATTGATCACACATTAAACCAAATAATCGTCACACGTTTATCACCACAGGTGCACGTGTATTCGGCTAAATATTGACCTTCCTTTGGGCCGACCAATATTCTCATGAATGACACATGCACAAACACTTTTTAACATTCTAAGTTAATCAATTTTCACAAGAGAGGTTGCTTTGGCAACATGTTGCTTCAATTAACCAACTTTCGAATATTATATCTTTTAAAAGAGTCTTTAGTACCAAAATTTGAGAAAGAGAATCACCAATTTTGCATATTTTGATTAGTTTTAAACTTTAGGTGCCGTAGGATTAATAATTCAAAACTTTAAGGGGGCAAAATTAATTAATTCCAAACTTTAGAGGTTGAAATTAATAAACTTGAAACTTTGTGGACCATAATTAATTAATTCAATACTTTAGAGGATCAATTAGATCAAATTTTAAAACTTTAGGGACCAAAATTGACAAATTCAAAACTTTAGGGATCAAATTTTGAAATTTTAGGGGTCAATTTGAATTAATTATGAACTTAGGGGGCCAATTTGAACTAGTAATTAAAGTTTGAGGGCTTTAATT